CGGGGAGGAATGATTCCTGGTCCGCGGATTCGGTAGGCAGAACATTGCAGGTTAAATCCCTGGTACTTTGTTCTGGTTCAGAGCGGAATTTTGCTCTGGCAGAGCGGTATTTGCTCTGGTCAGGAAGACTGGATACAGGTGGGCTTTTCCGAGGTCCTCCCGGTATACTAATCTTTTTTCTTTCAGAGGACAGAGCAGGGGATTTTCTGCTCTGGGGCTGGGAGGACTGGAAATACCGGGAAGGTCTACCTGATGTCTTACCTGGAATTTGGGGCTCCAAAGGTAGCATAGTTTAATGTAGAGTTATGCGCATTTGTTTATTATTTGTATGTACATGTTTGTTGTTTTGGTTTTAAACTAATTTCTCAGTGTGCACACTGTGTTATTTATAAATATTATGTATTAGGTAGGAGCAGCCGAATGTTCAGAGATGCACAGCTCCCGATGTATTTATCATAATTTAATCCCATCTGTCATTCGTAGTTTACTTTTTTAGTTTTCTGCTCTAGGTAATTAAATTGTTTCCCTGTGTGATGTTGAGTGAGGACACTCGACAGTCAGGAAAGGCCGTGTCGGAAAGTGATGACTGATGCCCAATATCGGACGTAAACACCGAGAGTCATCTAGACATCTAAGTGTGCGGGACCCGAAGTGAAGGGGGAAGAAAAGATAAACATTCTGGCTAGAGCGGAATAAGGGCTGACTTGAGGCATTCATTAGATATACACCAACTACGTAGCATGTAATATACTTACTGTTCGAAGTTAATTTAATTATAACGTTTTACAACATTTCCGAGTTTTATTGCATTATTTCTAACATCAGAAGTGGGATTACACCTGTGCGCTTAAAAACACTTGTGTTGTGCATGTTGTGCAAAATTAAAATAATAATAATAAAAGAATACTGGTGCAGCTAAGTACAAACAAACGGATTTTCAAGTGGTGCTTGTGAGTGCTTCATATCACCTTGGTTAAGATGAAGCGGTACCAAAGAACCCGGGTAGCTGGTGAGCAAGGGGGTTCGCCGGAAGAAGACAGGGCGTTGGCGAGGCGACAGCGCCTGGATTCAGCAAGCCCGGTGTATGGCAGTGGTCGACAGCGGGAGCATAGGCAGAGGAGCGGTAGCCCATCATCCCGAAGCGAGCGTTCGAGGGAAAGAAGCCGGAGTCATAGGCGGACCCGGAGTCGGGACCGGAGGCGTAGGCACTCACGTAGTGGTGAGAGGGCTGCGGACAGAAGGAGAGAAAAAGCTTCTTCGGCTTCCTCGAGTAATGCTTTGGCTGAGAGCGTTTCGCAACTAGGGGCGGCCATGGTGTCACAGTTCGAAAGGTTGGTCGAAAGACGGAATCCAGGCGTAAGTAATGTATCTATGGTTCTGAATATTATTCCAGAATTTAATCCTTTATTACATGACGTAAATGAGTGGTTGAACGCTGTAAATGAATTTGCACTTATACATGGATGGGATGATAAAACAACTTCCCACCTAGCTTTATCGAAATTAAGGGGAACCGCAGAAGTTTGGTTTAGAGGTCTTCCGTCACGGTTGTTTACATGGGAAGAATGGGGTGCTATGCTCGCGGAAAATTTTCGTCCAAAGCGTAATCTTTACAAGCTATTACAAGATGTCATGTCATGCGTACCACAAACTAATGAGCTCCTCTATGAATATGTATACCGAAAATTAGCGCTCGTACATAAGTTAAAAATTCCTCTAAATGATGAGGATCGTGTTAGTATAATAATGGGGGGAATCAATAACATACAAATTAAGTTTGCAATAGACGCCGCCGGGATAAAGGATCCCCATGCACTAGCGCAACATTTAAAACTATTCGACGAGGAAAGAAAATTAATTAAGGGTGGCGTAAATTCGGGTTCATTACCCTCCGCCCCTGCCCGTACCCATCGGCCTAACGATAATAAACACCTCGTGTGCTATCGATGTGGTACCACGGGACACTTGCGTCGAGATTGTACAAATAAACAAACTTCGGCTTATTCTCAGCGTCCCAAGGGTCAACTAGCCTTGGAACAAAGAGTAAGAATTATAAAGAGGAGACAGATAGAAAGAAAAAGTATATCAGAGAGAGATAGAGTAAATAAGTCCAATTTAAAGGGACGACTAACCAGTGTAAGATCAAACTTTTCGGGTAGAGGTCGACAAACANAGGTAAGAGATTGAAATATTTTCAAAAGGGAATTTACTGACGTTTTTCCGCCCCGTCGTAATTTCGGTCGTTTGTTAAGTGAGGCAGTTAATTTTGATAGTAGTCAATGTAATACGTATGATGTTTACGTTCATAAAAAGTCATCCTTATTGAGAAATTTGCGAGTGTCTTGGCAAGAACAAGATCTTGTAGAAATAATTGTTCGTGGCATTAGAGAATCACATGTTCGCGATGCCACGATGTCAAGGGACTGTAAAACGATTTCAGAACTGCTCACATATTTATCTGTTTATACAAAAAGGGCGAGGGACGATATTGACACTAGTTTTGAAATGAGTTCGTCAAGGAGCTCGTTTAAGAAACGAAAGTTTTCTGAGTCACTAGGTAACAACCGTAAAAATATCAAATGTCATACATGCGGTAAATTAAGGCATGTTAGACGCCAATGTCACAAGAGAAGTCAGAATCAGATTAGAAATTCAGTTAGGGATGAAACTGTTGCTGGACCAAGTACTAGTAATCAAATCACGTGTTCATTTTGTACTAAGGTGGGTCATTATGATTATTTACGTAGGTCGTTTGGCTTGGCCAATGCCCCTGCGGTATTTCAGCGTGCATTAATGAAAGCGTTAGGTGACCTTAAAGACACCATAGTCCTAGTGTACTTAGACGATATTTTAATACCTTCAGATACACCTGAAGAGGAATTGAAGTCTCTAAAATTAGTTCTTACAGCTTTGCAAAATGCAGGATTTTCATTAAATGCTTCCAAATGAAAATATTTACAATGTAGTGTGATATATTTAGGACGTCAAATTTCTGCCGAGGGTATACGTCCAGATCCAACGAAAGTTCAGGCTTTACTGCATTCACCAATACCCAAAACCGTTAAACAAGTCCGACAGTTTATGGGACTTCCAGGCTATTTTTGAAAGTACATTATAAATTTTACTTCGGTTACATCTTGTATTACAAAATTAATAAAACAAAACGAACCACTTTTATGGGTTAAGGAGCAGCAAGAAGCTTGCGATTACGTAATCAAACATTTAATATCAGAACCTTTATTAACCGTTTTTGACCCTGATTTACGCACTGAATTACACACCGACGCGAGTTCGCTTGGTTACGAAGGAATTTTGTTGCAAAAAAGAGACAGTCAAACTGGCGTAGTTGGTTATTTTAGTAAATGAACAACCTCAACAGAGGAAAAGTACCATTCATATGAGTTGGAGACGTTGGTCATAGTTAATTCCCTAAAGCATTTTCGCATTTATCTCTTAGGCATTCACTGCACAATCGTCACTGATTGTAATGCTGTCAAATCAACCGCAAATAAAAAGTCGTTGATACCACGCGTAGCTCAATGGTGGTGTTATATGCAAGATTTTAACTTTACTCTAGTATACCGTAAAGGAAGTTCATTACCACATGTAGATTTTCTAAGTAGAAATCCTCACTAAGCGTTTCTACGGACGGTTATAAACATGTCCTTGTGTTAATCGATGCATTTACAAAATACTGGTTATTGTTGCCACTGAAGACTGTGACATCTATAGAAACCAAAAGTCAATTACAAAATTTCTTTTCGTTATTTGGAGCACCTAAGTTGATAGTTGCTGACACAATTTTCAAAATTTAGAGATCGCACAATTTATTGCGTATAGAGACAGATATTAAGTCAGAATGGTCGAACAGTCTTTGGAAAATTCAACTTGTGTTAAATACACTTTTCAAAAATCAATAAGGATGACTCCTATTCAGGCTTTATTAGGCATAAAAGCTGCAACTCCTTTGATTCAATATTTGGTTCAAAATACAAAAAGACGAGACGATCGCCAGTTTGAAGTGGGCGATATTGTATTAGTGCATAGAGATTCCACCATTCATAAAAGCAAACTAAAGTATTAACATTTGGTATAATTTTAAAGCACATCAGCGTCGCAGAACCTGATGGAACATCGACTATAACCATTAAATCACATCAGCGTCGCAGAACTTGATGGAACATCGACTATAACCATTAAGTAAAGCACATCAGCGTCGCAGAACCTGATGGAACATCGATTGTAAGCATTGAAACACATCAGCGTCGCAGAACCTGATGGAACATCGATTATAACCATTAAAGCACATCAGCGTCGCAGAACCTGATGGAACATCGATTGTAAGCATTGAAACACATCAGCGTCGCAGAACCTGATGGAACATCGA